TTTTTTTGTGTTTTTATATAATTAATTAATTTATTTATATATTTTGTATATATAAACAGTGAAAAGTCAAACTCCATGGCGAGTTCATATTCATTGCTGCTGCTGGAGGTGTGGGAGAAATGGGATGTGAGGGGATTGCTGCTGCCGCTGGAGGTGTGGGAGAAATGGGAGGTGAGGGGAATGGTTCTTTTTAGTCTCACCTTACAAATCATCCTCTCTGTCTTAGGTGGGCGTAGAAAATACAAAATTAACTATTTCTTCAAAGCCATTCTATGGTTTGCCTACTCAGGTGCCGATTGGATTGCCATTGCTACTTTGGCCAAACTTTCTGGCTCCCTTGCAGAATCTACTGCCACCAACATCTTAAGAGCATATTGGGCTCCTTTACTCTTGGTACATCTTGGTGGCCCTGACACCATCACAGCTTATGCTTTTGAAGACAACAACCTTTGGATTAGGCACCTTGTCATCCTTCTTGTCAAAGTAATTCTTGTTATTTATGTTGTTTGTCTGTCGTGGACCTTTTGTTGGCTCTCGTTTTTGACTCTCCCTCTCATCTTAGCTGGAATTATCAAGTATGTAGAGAAGATATTGTGTCTCAAGCTGAATAACTCACAAAAAACAAAACCCATCATTTCTAATATGTTTAATCGTCGAGATCATTCTAATCCCGATAAGTTTCCAGCCCTTGAACGCCTTCGTAGAGAAAACCCAAACATTTTGACAAGTTATCTCTTATTTACAATTACAAGACCTGATGTCAATGATTACCTCTCCTCCCAAAATTTTTCCGATGTTGGAACAAGGTTCAGAACTCATCTCAGGGAAACTACAGGTATGGATGGTATAATGGCTCTCTGGGTTGCAAACCAATATATTCCTAATACTCGTGATATAGATGTTGTTGCAGTATTTTCTATTGAACTAGCATTCATGTTTGATGTTGTTTACACCAAAACTAGTTTGATTTACACCAAGTTAGGATGCTTCTTGCGCCTCACCAGTTTCACTAGCTCTTTGTTAGTTCTGCTGCTCTTCCTTATCAACATCATTAATGAGGCAAATTTACATGGCTCGAGAATTGATATTACCATAACTGGCATCTTATTGAGTGGAGCTATTGCACAAGAATTTTATGCAGCATGGGCAATGCTTTCTTCTGATTGGGCAGTTCTTGTTGCGGAATTTCATCATAATGTGTTGGTTCGCAACATGTTTAAGGTCACATTAAAGTGCTTCTCTTGCTTATTGCATCGAAGTAGAACAACATCGTCAAATCAAATGGGTCAATTTGATTTGTTAGAATATTGTTGGCGTTACAAGAAAAGGAACGCAAACGAATCACATGGCTTTCTATCGAAGATCACTATTGGCAGTGAAATTGTTGAAATATGGCACAAACACTGGTTTACTAAATTTGTGGATGTTCCAGATTTATTGAAACGGCCCATCTGTTACTCTGGACTTTTGGAGGGAATCATTTCAAAGAACATAGACATAACAAGAGGACAACAGGCATTGCGGAAATTGCGACCATTTGATAAACTATTTGATAAACTAAAATGGAGCATTGAAATGGATTTCGATCACAGCATCATAATATGGCATCTTTCCACAAGTGTTTTCTACTTCCAAGAAGATCATCATGATGATGAAGCAATGAAAATTAGTAAACATGTATCAAATTACATGATGTATCTACTGGCCATGTGTCCTGCCTTGCTATTGTCCGAGCATAGTAAGAGTTTTTGGCTTGATCATGCTTATGACAACCTCAAAGAACGTTTGCCTCGTGCAACTGATACTAGCAATGCTGCTTCCGCATTACTTTCCATTCCACATGATGTTCAAAACGAGGAGCCTGAACCTAGGTTTGATGTCTTTAATTTCTTATTTTCAAAGAATTTATAAAATTAGAATTAAAGTAGTTTTATTTCTTTCTAAGTTTCCTTCTTTTTTTTTTTGTCTTAAACTGCAGGGGGATAATTTTTCAACAACTAATGAAAGAGGTGCAGGACCTAGTCGCATTTTTACGGGACGAAGATAATAAATGGAAGATAATGAGGGATGTCTGGATGGAAATGCTTTCCTATGCAGCATCTTCAAGTCAGCACATTAATCACATTAAGCAACTAGGAGAAGGCATTGAATTCCTCTCACTTATCTGGCTGTTGGTAAGCCATGGCATTATCCAAACTGCCCGCGGTAAACCTTTGCATTATCCAAACTGCCCGCAGTAGACCTTTGCATTATCCATATTGTCTTTAAAATGTAGTGTGACCAACATCTGCAAGCTCGGTTGCCTTATGTCTCATGTTCGAATTACATACTTTAATAAGTGACAATTTATGTTACTTTCTTAAATAAATTTATATTTGATATTTGTTTTAAACTTTGATCTGTACTAATTAAACTCTTGAATGGTCAGTTTTAAAAATAAATATTGTTTTTTAAACCTTTTTTATTATAATTATGATTTTAAGGATTTAGTTTTAGTTTTAATTTTTAAAGAGATTCACAAATCCTCAAATAAAATTAAAATTTTCAATAAATTAATTAAGTTGGGGTTTTGAATATTTATTCTAAAATTTTATACCAAATAAACAAGCAATTTAAATTTTTAATTTTAGCTTCTAAATGTTAATTTTGATTATTTAGATTTTAAAAACTAAAACAAAAAACTCAAAATTATAATTATGCAATTTTTATAGCTATAATGTTGATTTCAGTTTATTTGTATAGATAAATTTACTTGATAATTATGAAAACTGCTTGTAATGTTTGTGATTATTTGTTTTCAAATTTTTGTTGCTGAATTGATGGAAAAAGTTCCTGTTAGCCTTACCTCTTAAAGATTATGAGGAAAATCATCCTAAAATTACGTCGTTTCAATAACTTTTTATTGAAAAAGGTTAAACTACTTTATTTTTAAAGGATAACCTAAGGTGATATTTGTCTTTTTTTTTCTTAATTTTTGGGAGGTAAGTGGACAAGCACTAACCCTATATATATATATTAATTTAGCTTATGAAATTTCTGAGGGATTTGTCCAGCAACAAAACTCTCAAGAATTTAACTATTATTATAATTTCAGGTTGATTCAAAAAATTGATTAATTAATATTTCAAAATTTTTAAAATTTTCCTTAATTTACAAAACAGTAAAAAATATTTTAAAAAATAAAGTTATTTTTCTCAATCCAAACGGACGCATGGTGTCTCTTTTTATGATTTTTCGAAAAGATTTGAAGGAGGAATCCAAGGCGAAAATAGTTAGTTTATTCGACGTCGTATAGGTGTAACCCTTCTGCTCCACCAATGGCGCCTATTAAACCCTCACTCAACCGAACCTTGGAGGCCTCTTCCCTGTGAACATTCGAGGGTTGTTTCCCTTTTTTCAGTCACTTCGATCAACACTTCCACTCTCCACAAGCTTCGCCTTCCCGGCGTCGCCATTCATTAACAGATCCAATCTAAGTTCTCCCCTTCGGCGTCGGCTTCTTCCAATCGCGAACCAGAAATGGCAATCTCTTCTCAAGCTCCTGATATTCAAGGAGAGCGTCAATCTGGCCAAGACGTTCGCACACAGAACGGTACTTCCCTTCTTTATGCGTGTTCTATTATCGCTGTCGAAGTTATTTTGCCCAATAAATTGCAAAACTGAGTTGATTCCAACCTTATTGAAGTGTTTTCCTT